GCTGACCCAACGAGGCTATCAAATAAAGCCAACGCTACACACCGCCTGTACCGCACTCATTGTTCCTGGCGATACGAAAGCAGCCAACCCCACTGACCTCAACGAGTACCACCTCGCGCACGGCCATGCCCACGAGACATTGCTCAGGATAACGGCGGAGCAGCAGGGAGTGCAGCTGACGGATGGACCGCTGCCACCCTGTCTTGCCTGTTCGATGTCCAAGGGACAGGTGAAACCCGTCCAGAAGAGCACGAGCACACGCGCAGTTAACAAGTTATTTCGCGTGTATCTCGACTTGGGGGGAAAGATGAAAACCAGGAGCATTGTTGGCAACTGGTACACACTGATCATCAGAGTCGATTTCTCCCGTTGGACGCGTGCTTTCCTGTTGAAACACAAGTCTGACGCAGCGGTTGGGTTTGAGAAGTTCCTGGCGGACTACCGAACGAAAGGGGTTCCGTGTAAGGTTTATATCGTACGTACCGACGGTGGCGGCGAGTTCCAGGGGCAGTTTGCGGAAGTTTGCCGCACACACGGCATCAAACAAGAGTTCACCCCCCCTCACACCCCAAAGTACAACGGCGTAGCGGAGAGAGCGCTAGGGCNTTGGGTTTGAGAAGTTCCTGGCGGACTACCGAACGAAAGGGGTTCCGTGTAAGGTTTATATCGTACGTACCGACGGTGGCGGCGAGTTCCAGGGGCAGTTTGCGGAAGTTTGCCGCACACACGGCATCAAACAAGAGTTCACCCCCCCTCACACCCCAAAGTACAACGGCGTAGCGGAGAGAGCGCTAGGGCTGATCACTGATGCCGCGCTTGCGTCACGCATCCAAGCGACGCAACTGTTCCCCGACGCACCGAACCACCCCGGGTTGTGGGCCGAGGCCATTTCGTGTGCATGGCATCAGCTGAACTGCACCGCCACTAAATCAAACGAGGGAGACAAATCCGCCTACGAGATGTTCCACGACTCCCCACGGCCTGTCGGGTCGACATACCCGTTTCTCAAACAGCCGTGTTCAAGTCGAGAAGAAAAGCAAAGTCGCAACCCAAGGGCGAAAAAGGATGGTAGCTTGGTCCTGCCCACAATCACCCCCGTGACTGCGTTTCCATGCTAGCCGAAGCTGGAACCATAATCACCACCCGCAATTTCACATGGCGCCACGTGCCCGCTGCATCGCCCGCTCCCCCGCAGCTGCTACCTCTCGCAGATGACGAGGAGGGCGGGGAGGGCGAGAGCAGAGCGGACATATCACGCCAAGGTTGGGTGGGGGAGAGAGACTCAAAGGGTGAGTCCGACCTCGACGTTATGGAGGCTCGTGGGCCAGGGCAAGCGACGCCGTTTGTGCGCGAGGAGGCGCCGACGGCACCCGGCAACGGGATTCCGGGGGATGGAGGCAGCGTTCCCCCGTCGTCCCCTTCGGGAAGGGGCGACTTCGGCGGAGGCAGTGACAGCCCCACCGACAGCAGCAGCAGCAGCAGCAGCAGCAGCAGCAGCCCCAGCAGCAGCAGCAGCAGTGACGCCGGCGGTGCCGGCGGCCCGGGCGGCGAAGAGTCCGGCGACCCAGGTGGGGACGGCGGTAGCGATGGTGATCCCGGCGACTCCGAGAACCTCGAGGAGTTGAAGTATGATCCAGCCGACGACCGCTACCCCCGCGGGCTAGAAGGGAAGAAACTCCTCTGGGGCGCCTCGAACGCTGGCCCGCTGCGCCATGGGCTTGAGAGTGGCCGCACGCGGAAGCAGACCCGGGAGATGCAAGGTGCCGGGGAGATGCCGGGGCCCGGAGAAACACCGGACCCGGAAGAGGCATTGCTGGCGACCATCCTGGAAACTGGCGGGACGGGGATTGTTGAGGGCTACATCCGCAACTCGCTTGTGAAGGAGCAGTGGGACGAGGAGTAGACACGCCGTATAGAGGAGATGTACAGGCGCGAGATGCAGGAGGTGTTGGGCCCGGAACAGCAGGCGTTCGGGGCCGAGGTCGACGCCAGCGGGTCTTCGCAACCACTCCCAGACCTACCGCTAAGTATGACCTCGCCAATCGGGCAGAAGCCGAGTGATGTGGAAGCAGTACCGATGACGTACAAGGATGGGATGTGTTCCAAGTACAAGGTTTTCTGGGAGGCGGCCATGAAGAAAGAGATAGATGGCCACGACAAGACTGGAACCTTTACCAAGGTCAAGGAGCTGCCCGAGGGGCGGAAGGCCATAGGTTTAAAGTGGGTGTTCTCTTGGAAGACGAATGAGAAGGGCCTGATAGTCGACAACAAGGCCCGTATGGTTGCGCGGGTTTTCTCTCAAATCCCCGGCATCGACTTCCACCACTCATCCTCAGCGTGCCCGTCTGCAGCGTCTATCAAGACGGTGATTGCCGTAGCCACTGAAAAGGGCAAGAAACTCGCTCACTGGGATGTGAAGCAAGCCTACATCCACGCTATGCTAAAAGAAGAAACATACCTCAGGTTCCCGGAAAGCTGTGGTAGCATATCCGGCAAGGTGGTCAAGGTTGAGCGTGCCCTGTATGGCCTAAAG